ATTTTGTCGTATTCTTATCTGGTACAAGGTACAGGTAGGTGAGAAGAAGCTCGAAGATCAGGGACATATCTTCAGGTAAAACCTATCGTTTAAATGTCCATTAAGGTGAGGAGTTGCCTAGTAAGATCAGGGTAAGAATTTCAGTATAAAATAAATCAGAATCTATGAAAGACAGGTTGGAATAAGACGAATATTTTGTCGTATTCTTATCTGGTACAAGGTACAGGTAGGTGAGAGGAAGCTCTGAGATCAGGAACATATCTTCATGTTAAACCTATCTTTTTAATATCCATAAAAGGTGAGGAGTGGCCGAGTAAGATCAGGGTAAGAATTTCAGTATAAAATAAATCAGAATCTATGAAAGACAGGTTGGTATAAGACGAATATTTTGTCGTATTCTTATCTGGTACAAGGTACAGGTAGGTGAGAAGAAGCTCGAAGATCAGGGACATATCTTCATGTTAAACCTATCTTTTGAATCTCCATAACAGGTAAGGAGTTGCCAAGTAAGATCAGGGTAATAATTTCAGTATAAAATAAATTAGAATCTATGACAGACAGGTTGGAATAAGACGAATATTTTGTCGTATTCTAATCTGGTACAAGGTACAGGTAGGTGATAGAAAGCTCTGAGATCGGGGACATATCTTCAGGTTAAACTGATCTTTTTAATTTCCGTAAAAGGGAAGGAGTTGCCGAGTTCGATGTCGAATTATTAGCTGGTACAAGCTACAGGTAGGTAGGAAAACCCTTTTAAGATCATGGTAATAATTTCAATCTAAAATAAATCATCAGCAATGAATGACATGTAGGATTATGATTATTTACATCCAAATTAGATGCTTTCTTTTAAAATAATTTGCTGTAAATGAATGCATCATATGAATACCTAATAAACAAGATGTGTTTGTATAGCACTGATGCCCCCATATGGCAACATAGCAAATATTAAGCTTTTTTTAAATGCAAATTTAAATAATAGTTACCAAAAATAAGGTATTCTCAACGGAAAACAATTGTGAAATTTGTGAAAATGTTAAAGGTTTTTTTATAAGTACAAAAATCTCTAAGGTCAAGGCCAAAATGTCAATGTAATTGGTATCAAAATGAAAGGTCTTGCCACATAGAATTCTTATATAGAGTATGAAAGCCCTAACCCTAACCGGTCAGAAGTTATGACCTAGGTTATTTATTAAAAAGAAGGTCAAACTCCAACGTCAAGGTCAATGGGTCAATGTTCTTGGTATCCAATGAAGTAACTTCTCACAAGGATTAAATATTTTAAGTATGAAAGCACTAGCCATAATACTTAAAAAGTTATGGTCAATGTTTGCTTTTTTAAAGTAGGTCAATCTTAAAGGTCAAAGGGTCAAAATTCTCGGTATCCAATGAAGTAACTTCTCACAAAGATCAAGTATTTGAAGTATTTGAAGTATGAAAGTCCTATCCCCTACCGTTCAAAAGTTATAGCCAAGGTTAAAGTTTCTTCACAAGTACGGAAATCTACAAGTTCAAGGTCAAAGGATCAAGGCTGTTGGTATCAAATGAAAGGTCATTCAAAAAAGATTACATATGTGAAGTATGAATGTCTTGGCATCTACTGTTCAAAAGATATCGCCAAAGTAAAAGTTTATAATTTTCATGACAAATGGCTCAAACTGCAAAAAATTAATATAAATAATCAAGAGCTAATATCAGCCTTTCAGTGCTGAAACAATTGTTTAAAAAGGATGACTCAAAGATCTTTAAAATAAAAAGTCGGTGTGACATTCCACCTCAAAGGTTTATGAAGAGTTATCTGCAATTGATGAAAAGAAGAAAATTTATTATTTCTCAAAGTATCTTAACTTAATAAAGATATAGTTTATTCAAATATTTACAAAGATATTTGTTTGCAAATCATATAACTTTTTTACAATATCTTAAATAAAAACATGTGCAGCCCATAGAACTTCAATTAATGTAAAATTCAAGGTGCAATTAATTGGACAAAAATCAAAGTTTTGTACAATTCTCAGTGAAGCATTATTTGATACCATCTTCAAAATTTTATCAAGATTTAAACTATCAGACCATTCATTTATTAGGTACGTAAAATGGTCGCTATACATTATAACCTAAATGCTTCGGAATTCTCGCGGGGCTGCCCTTCAATACATGGTCATTAGATAAGAAATGAAATCTAGTAATTTGGACTTTATAATTAGTTTAATTTTTTTTTATATTTCATTCATATTTTACAACAAGTATTAAATAAACATCACTGCCCTAAGTGAAAAAATATAAATAAAGTAAGCACAATGTCATATATTTGTACTTTGGATCACATGAGAGAAAAAATTCACTCGAATTATCTAGTGTGAAATATCAGGCATACCAGACCCAGAAAAGTAGTAACTGCCGAATAGCGAGAAATGTAGGATTTGTAGATTTACGTATCCCTTGCTCTATTGCGTTAGGATATGCCTCGTGGGGGAAAAATCTTGAGTTTTGTGAGAAATTAAGTCTTATCGCTAAGCTGGATATTCCTGTGAAACAATACCAGATTTCTTATTAGTGGTTGTTGTATAGGTATAAGTTTCTAATTAGAATAAGAAAATATATTATTTCTATCTCACAACCTCAGTATAATAGTCATTCAATTACACTGGCGGATTAGTTTAGAGGTTAGTGCACCCCACCCCACCCCCACCCTGGTCCCCTTTTTCTGTCGAATATATACATATGATTTAACAATTCAATAATTTTTAATTTTAATAAAATGTAATTTACCAATCGAATAAATATTATCAAAAATATTTATTATATTTCTGTATGTTTTAACACTGACAAACTCTTAACTCTGATAAACAACAGCATCCCCCCCTTTTCCCCTTTCAAGATTCATGGATTCTCCACTATAATCTGCCTCGCCGTGTGAAACAGTAATAAGAATGTCTGCTTTCAAGTCGCTGATTAAGGAGATAATCATTGTGTTGCAGGTTTGAATCCATCTGAAGGACGTGGAGACCGGTCCTCCAATGAGACCGTATAAACGGAGGTCCCTTGTCGCTGGCACGAAAAAGATCCCTCACTGTGCAGGGGACCAGGGCCCCCTTTTCTTTACAATATAAGCATAAGATTTAATAATTCAATAATTTTAGTGTGGTTGTGGGCTCCATAACTCTGACAAACAACCGCTCCACCCCTCCCTGTCGCTGTTGGTGCTGGCACGAAAAAGGTCCTTCACTGTTCAGTGACCCAGAGTGTCGAGCAGCTTTCCAACGGCAATTGTTAGTGTTCCCATGAGTGAAAAATTGGAGCGAGGAACTTATTGCAGCATTTAAACACGTTTGGTTTTCGTTTCTTACAGGACCACATTTAACGATAGATGCCTGTCTCCAGTAGGTAATAACCCCCCCCCCCCCCCACGTGCATTCTCCATTCACAATACACAGTACCAAACTGCATTAACCGAAATACAAATAAATATATAAAAGGAAAATATATCAAGCACTATACCTCAACTCCTTTTATTTTTCATTAAAATCAATCCACGCTAGTCTATAATTTATCCATAATTTATATTGATAAATTGTTTATATTTACTGACATTTCCATTTTCCAGCATACGGATTTATATATAATAACCCCATTGTAAATTACAGATGAAATAAGAAATAAATTACCAACCGAATATGTATTATATATTATTAAAGAATATTTATTTTATTTCTGTTTATTTTAATGCATGTGGAATATTCCATGTACGAGTGAATAGGTCTCTAGTGATGACGTATTACGCATCTTATGAACGATAACTCATTATATGAACGATAACTCATGTTCGACTTCTTTTACGCCATATCTTCTAGTCATTACCTTCGTAACCTCCTTGTTTTCCTTCCCGAGTTTCGCTATGTGTAAGACGTCCAGATGTTAAAAAATAATCCTGAAATACGTTTGAGTAATTGTTTTCCTGCTTAGATACGTAGCTTGCTGCGGTCGTTGCAACCATTGTTTACAACGTTGCGGTCGATGTTTTGATTGTGACGTCACAATGCCGTTGCACGCGCATTGACCCTCCGGTGAATACGGCCTAAAATCCGGTGAATATGTAGTGTTATGAAGTGTTTGCGTTTGTATAGATTATATAGGGACTATAAATAGACTATATAATAAATAGTATACATCCCCAAGCTCACCCGAGCCCATAGAGGAGTAAGGATCCCCTGCAGACCGGTCAAACCCGTTGTGTGCTCCTTGTTATGTTCGAGAAATAACAGGAAAATCCGTCGTCAATTCAGTGTACAAGTATTAATATTGGACTTACAATGAGTATCAAAAACGGCAGTCAGCATTTCACTCAATGAAAATGAGGATTCGTTGTCAATTCAATGTGTTAATAAAGAACTATTAAGTAGAATAAAAAAGTCAGTCGTCTTTTGAATCAATGATAAATTGTAATTGGTGACAAGGCCATTGTATCAACCTCTGAACCTGCGAAATGATGACTTTAAAGAAGACTGCTGATATTCTTGTTTCTTTGACTTGTTTGTCAATAATTTACATCTTTATCGAAATTGTTCATACGTAGAGCATGCTCTTGCGTATCGAATCCGTATGCAGGCGATGAATGTATAGTGATGCATAAGTAAGGGAAGTTGAGATTGAAAAGTCAGTCATCATGTTTATATCATAGAACTTGCTTGTTAGATTACCATTAGTGTCTTTTTCAAGTAAAATATCCAAATATAAAACAGATGTGTCAGACCCTGTTGTAATCTAAACATACAACATTTTCGAGTATGATCCTCAGTTTTTCTTTCATTGTATAGTACTTATAATTTCTGATTATATGTTTGCATATGCATGTCTTCAAGAGGTCTTTTGAATCAATTTTTATTTACAACAATAATATTTTTTTATTTACAACATAAATTTCGTATTAAGAATTTTTACAAATTATCTTAACATTTTTTTTTTCGAGAAAAGATATTTTTCCTATCTTTACATTACAGGGACTGTTTTGGAAGAAGAAGACAACAAAGAATTTGCTGACCAACTGAAGTCTGGAGAATCATCAACAGTGGTTGCCACGGCCACTGTAATTCCGGTTCTTATAACAACAGCTGTTGTCGTAATTGTTGTGTTATGGCGTAGGAAAGTCGGGTAAGTAAACGTTTCAAAATAACAACTAAAGTATTTTATTGGAATCTAAGAAAAATGTTCATTTTTGTTTTTAAAAAATAAAGAAAGCAGCCTATTTTATTTTATTTTGTAAAAGATAACGAACGATAATCATGGCCCAAATAAACAAATAAAATTTGTGACTAGAGCAAAAGTGAGCTTATTTAGAATAAAAGAAGGAATTATGTGCCATTTAGGAGTAAGGATTTAATGAAGATCTCTACACCTGTGAAGTATAATTGATTTTTGGTGCATGCATTTTTTTTTCTAATAATAGGCTCAATATCCAATGAAATAAGGTTCCAAAGTATTTCGTTTGTTTTTGTTGAAATTTTAAAAACTTTTAAATGTTTTTTTAAACACCCCTCAATTATATATTTTGAAAAACTTGGTGCTTTGAATTTCCATTCAAACTTTAATCTAATAACATATTGAAATGAATTCCAAGAGTTATAAATGAAATGTATATAATTTTTATTTGAATCTTTAAAAGCAGAGAAAAGAAAGGATAAAACGGTATTTTTTTTTTAGAATAGCTTGTTGGATTTCCTCTTATATCTGAAAATAAATAAAGTATCATTGGGTTGAAATGATAAAAAAAGAAATTGAATGAAATTAAAAAACTGACAAAAAATTTAAACATTTAAACATGGAAAAAGGTGTGAAAGATGCGTTTCAAGAGTGGGCTCAAATACTGTAAACCAACTTTTATTCGCGTGCGAGAAATTTTCGCGAAGTTCGCGAGAGCCTCGCCATCGCGAATATTTCTCGCCGCGAACCGGTCCTTAACATGTATGGTTCTATTAACAACAGATTCAAAAAGGCTTGATCGCGAAAATAAATCGTCGCGAACCACTTTATCCTTGGTAAATCGCGAAATATAGTCGTCGCGAATAAAAGTTGGTTTACAGTACCTAAATACCTTGGTACTATTTTTCTATATAATATATATAATCTGTAGAAAATATTATGTATAAATAAATTAATTTTAGTAGTAACACGTCATCTGACTGGATAAAAAATTAATCTATATTGTTTAACCTGGGTTGTCTACGTCATAATGACTTGCGTCAAACACGTGTTCACCCGCATGCCGTTATATATTGTAAAGTATATCACGGAAGATAAAACAAATGACAAAAATTTCTTATTTATAGCATAATTAGATAGGTTAAGATAAGAGGATATAAGTGTGAAATTATAAAACTGCATATGTTTATTGACCTTGAGCAGCACCGCTACGTCAACTAAATGTCACGTCAGACGGAAATGTTTTCGCGTGTGGGACGATTGGAAAGCGTTTACTCTTATCTGTTCGTTATCACATATAACATTCCAAAAATCTCTTTTCTTTAACGACTCTTTAAAAAAGTGTACTGTTTCCATCTAGGTTAAAATGCACATGCGTCTTATAGAGAGGTTGATCTAGATCATATTATGCAACGCGGGTCAACGTTATTTAGTCCATAGTTCCATAGTGATTGATGGTTATCTGGAGCTTTTGTTTTACTCGAGTTTCTTTGTGAAAAATATATATTCCAATGAAAAAGCATACGGTAACCCTTATAATGATTTTTCGTGGTTATAAATGTTATTGTTTTAGCAGGTCAATCAGTCTGGAATAGAGTTCATTGCTTCATTAAGAATTAAGGTTTGTTCGCTGCGCCGCCTTGACATCAAATTGTTATCGCCTTTCTTTACCGCGCTGTAATTATGTAATGATCTCCCTATTTCTGATCGAAATACTCAAAAACTTGCTCAAAATGAAGTAAAAATAATATGAAAAATTCATATGCATAAATGGAATTATTCTATCTCACAATGGGCACACCACGTGTTTAAACGTTGGTGTCACATATTTTCAATGTCTGATTTCGAGACTGCGCCCGGAACCATTACCATTTCACATTTGTATACCACTGAAAAGAAAAAATATGTTAAATATTTTTTGCTTTTATAAGTTCCTAGTGTTTGTCAAAAATATATTCAAATTTGCACCGAAAGTCGTTCATTAGAAAGAAAAATATATTTAATGTATCAATAATTTCCGAACAGCCCTTGTATCTGGAAATAACAAACAGGATTCGAGCTCAAAAGTCCAATAAACAATACAAAATAGGAGTGGGACAGAAATTGACCTCCAGAACATCAGAGGTGGGATCAGGTGCCATGGAGGAGTGAGCATTCCCTGCCGACGGGTCACACCCGCCGTGTGCTCGTTGTCATGATCAGGAAATAACGGAAAAATCCGTCGTCAATTCAGTGTATAAATAATGGACTAACAATTCGAATGAAAAACAGCAGTAATCATTTTGACTTAATGATAAATTGTATTTGTTTAAAAGATTATTGTCTTTCAGCAATGTTTCTTTAAATTAAGAGGCTAAGTTTTTATCGTAATGATTGTCTCTTAATCATATTATAAGCTTTTATATGTGATAACTGTAATGCAACAATATTTCTGTTTTGTTTAAAAATCAACGTAAAGCACCAATGCAAAAAAGGAAGACAACAAAACTACCCACAATCCAGTTTATGGAAAACCTGCATTGGATACTGTTACAGGTATTTAAGTATACACACTATCAATTTCAATTAAAGTAAAAATGAAATGAATTAAAAGCTTTATTTTGTGCTATTTGTATCCTTTATTTTTCTGTATGTTTCTATGGAATTCCTGATAAGAACGCCTCAATCAGTTTTCTCTGAAATTGAATTTCATCACCAAATTTTCTTTTGACATAATAATTGTAGGCCAAGGATCAGAACAAAGAGCACAAGAGGAAAGCCAGTTAGAAATGAATATTCTAAATCGAGATGATGTGAACAATTACGGGTACGACGTTTCTGTGAGGGAATCCAGAAGTAAAGAAAAGGAAACATATTCTACTAAA